GGAAGAGCGAGGAACTCATGGCATTAGAATTGCCAGCAGGAGGAGCCGACAACGCTGAACTCAGGCTCTGGCCGGCTAAAAGGCTTTCCGCACAGCTTTAAACTGTATTTTTGTAATCATTTCCATCAAAGCAGGGTTTTCAGCTCCAATCTAAGAGAGAGTCAGTGTATGGACTGAGCCTGTAGCAGGCCTGCCCGCAGGTCCAGCACTTCTCTGTGCACCCAGCAGCTTCTGCAGAAATTAAGTTTTCTTTTCCATAAATAAAAAAAGATTTTAGCTCTTAGAGTTCTGGAGAAAACCTCCTGCATGTAACCTAATGTAACACTGTCTGCAGAGGAACTCCACTACATGGGTATGGTTTCACTGCAAAGAAAAACCTGCAGCACCATCTCAGAGCCTGGATCAATTGACTCAGGCTTACAGGTCTTGGGTGGAGCTAAAAATAGCAGTGTAGGCATTCCCGCTCAGGCTGGAATCCAGGTTCTGAGATCTGGCGAGGGGATGGGGTTCTCTGAGTCTGCGCCCCACCCTAGTGAGAATGCCTGAGCCCAGCAAGCCCATTGCAGTATATACCAAGTGCAATGTGGCCTAATGTTGCCTAAAGTTTATCTGCTGCCCTCCAGCCTTTATTTTATCATAAATGAAGCCATTCTTAATCCTTTCGATGGCTGACATTTGCCAAGATGCTAGCCCAGGGGAGCGTGTTTAGAGGGGTGTGTGCAATGTCTGCAGTTGCCAAATGAACACAAGAGTCACAGGAACCAGTTGACCCTCTATTAAGTATTTAGCAGACTTCCCAGGGCTGCTGCCCAATGAGAAGAGACAGCCAGAATCTTCCCTATCAAACATGAAAATGTTTTATTAACATACAGAGAAGAAAAAGACAGGGCATAACATGTCATGATTTGCTATATATTGCTCTTTCCAAGACAAATTGACAGACTGGAGCCCTGTGACAAGTTAACAGTGTGTTTGCTTTCACAGACATTAGGTCAAGAAACCCACTAAACCCTGGGTTTCATGATAAGATTCTCTCCTCTCTCTCCACCGCAGCTGGCCCATCTTGTCTATTTCACTGTGATACAAGGAGCTGTCAAGCACTTGGCTTGGGAGGGTGCAAGGGCTGCTGTTGATAGTTTGCTTTTCTATAGCACTTTCCATTGGCAGGCTGCAAAGCCTTTCTCTAGTAGAGGCCTGGTTTCAAAGGGGGTGTTGAGCCACAGCTGGACTGAGTTTGTGGGGCTCAGCCTGGTGAGTCTTTGACAGAGCTATGTGTAGAGGAGGGGTGTTTGCACAGGGCCAGCCTGCCTCTAGATGGTGCCATCAGTTTCTCTGCACTCGTGAGCACCAGATTTGCTAACCCGAATGAAAGGGGATTGTTAAAAATAAGCATCCTAGTTAGCAGGAAGGCAATTACCCGGGAGGGATGGGTCCGCAAAAAGGAGCTGATTCACACACACAGGCTTATCACATGATTGCTCAGCTGAGGACAACTGACAGAGAATAAACCTCCTTGTACTTTTCATGATCTGAAACCCAGCTGGCTTCTGGTAGCTGATGGGTGACTTTCTCTGATATCTCAGGGTGTCAGGACATAACTGCTGCATGAGCCCTAAATTTGGCTCTGAAGCCCTCCTTGTCCTCTTTTTTTCCCCCACAATGAGAAGAGAGCTACATACATGCTTAATTATACTATCTGCCTCTCAAAGCTGGATGCATCATGTAGATATGATCTTGTTCCATGGGTGGCTATGTCATTGCATTATCATTTTTGCTGGTAGTGAAAGCTAAACTTAAGGCTGAAGAATAGCTTCCATTGTAACTCCCTGTTTTCAGGTGCCCATAACTTTCAGAGATTTTTTTCCTTTCAGGCAAAAATTTTCTGGGGTTGGTCTTAGTCCAATGATGATATTTTAAGGCTGGGGAAATTACATTTAAATGCATCTATCATACAAAAGGGTACAAAAAAGCATATACAGTTTCCTGTTGGCCAAATAAACTTTGAGATCTGTTGCTTTTGACAAGAGAATTACAGAGGGTGCTCCAGTGAGCTGCAAGGGACCAGCTATGCTGAAGGATCTGAGGTCCTCATTAAACAAGAACATGGCTGGAACCACCAGAATCTAGAGCTGGAATAAATTCGCAGCAGCCTATTTGTTGCAATATTTGTAACGTGGGTCTGAGGCTGTTTTGAAAGATTTGAAACATTTATAAAACTAAACATTGATTTGCATGCAATGGTTAATGTGGAAATGAATAAAACTGCTCCTTTAGGATGAAAAGGCAAGGGATTTGTAGCTCTTCTATGTCTGGCTGTTCAATACAGTGATCTGCAGTCCCCCAGGGTGCCTGTAATTGACGTCTGTCTGGTCCGAGCACTGCAAAGTGCCCTGAGCTCTCCTTCCAGTGCCAATGAGTAGCTTGTGGCTGTTGAAAGTATAGGATGTTGTGTATTTACCGCCACCACTCAATGCTTATGGCTGAGAGCTTCAAAGCAGCCCTTGGGGATTTAGAGGTACATTTCCCATTGAAATTAATGGGAGTAGTGCATCTGCCCCCCCCCCCCATATGTCAATATAGCACAAGGCAGCAAGGGGGTCCCCAAAGGTGGAATAAAATGAGTCACAGGCCCAAATTCCTTGTCAGTCTACTGAACATTAGGAGGACTTGCCTGAGGCCCCTTTCCATGGTCTGGGTTAGTGAGGAACCCCTGGATGCTTCCTTTATGTGATGGCATGATAAGGGTCAGCTCTTTTGCGTTGGTACTGGCAACATTTTTGCACAGGGAAGATACTAACAAGGGGCAAAATTACAGCTATAAACTAATGAGCTTCCTTCTTTCCCGTCTGCAAACCCCTGCTTGTGCCACTGTGGCACAGTGTTCAGCTGAGTGCTGGGGACCTGCACAATCTGTCGCTCTGCAGCTCATCCAGCAAGCCGTGCTCCAAGCATTAGGGGAATTGGACCCTCTTCCCATGCCTGTCCCTTGAAGCACAAAGCACTTTGGCCCAGATCCTGAGAGATATTTAGGCACTTAACTATCATTCAAATCAATGGTAATTAGATGCCTAAATATCTCTGAGGATCTGGGCCTCTGCCATGGTCCAAAGTCTCTCTTGAACCAAGAGAAATAGCCCTAGTTACTGTCTTGATGAAGTGAGTGTCTCCTTCTGCATTCTGAAATGCTGCCATTCCTAAATGAGGCATCTTCTCTGCTCCTGCCACCTGCTCCCCTGACCTGTCCGCCAGAGACACGGCCGCTGCCAGCTCTAGTTCTTGAGTGCAGCCCTCAGATCCAGGCATCGCAGGATCATGGTGAAATGAACTGCCTGAAAACCAGCAAAGGAGCCAGTGAAAGCTCAAGGACATGAAGAGCAATGGCCAGAAAGCCCTGAAGAGCGGAGGGTATCAGGACGGAAGCTAGCCAAGCTGCCTGGGGAGTGCTAGCCCAATGGGAATTGACATGCTGGTGAGGGTCTACTGTTCTTTCTGGGTTGGTTTCAACTTGTTTGCTGTGTTGATTTTACCATTTGGGTTGACAGCAGTTTTTCCTGCAATGTCACCTGCCTTGCCTCAAAGTCACCTGAAAATGACCACCAGACTTGTCAAACTGGCTTGCAGCCTTTCCTCTCCCACAGGAGCAAATCTCCAGGACTCCCTCCTCCAATGGATCTCTCCCGCCACAAGCAGCAGCTGCCCTCTCCAACCCCAGCTGCCCCTTTTTCTGGCCCGTTAGAAATTCTAGGCTGCTCCATATGCCAAAGTTTAAGGCGACTTAGCTTATTGACTCACTTGGTAACCCAATGGAGTGGAGAGATCAATTTAATCAGTCAGCTGTCTCTGGTTTTAAGATCCTCTCAGTCTCTCTGCCACTAAGTGCTCTGATTCCAGAGTGTGGGGACGGTGACCATGTTTGGGGTTAATGCAGGGTGGTATGGGGGTGCTGATGTCAGATCACATGCTGAACAGGAACACAGAGACTGGGGTTTATATAAAGTATATCCACACACGCTCACTCAGGTCACCTGAAAGCACATGGAAATACCAGAACCCTGACAGAAATCACAATGATTTAAAAATACTTGCTGTTGAGAAAGTGCCCTCCAGCCTGGAGCACTTCAGCCACCAATGAAACTGCAGCCACCTCTGTGGTGGTGGGGGGGGAGAACACAGTAACAGCAGCTCTGTGTAACTCTTAGGAGGTGAAGGCAAGAACAGCCCAATTAAGTATCATGGGCATTTAGCTGGGCAGACTGTAATTACTAGAGTGGCTCAATTTTCAAACAATTTTTTCTCATTGCGAATTGGGCTTTTTTCAAAATGGAAATGTTTGCAAAGTGTGTGTGTCTCTGTGCGTGTAAAGCAAAATACCAAAAGTGAAACAAAACTAGGATTTTTATTTTCAATTTTTTCCCTACTCTCCCCACCCCTTTTTTTTAGTGGCAGAATGGAAAAGGGGACAAAGGGGCAAAAAAAAAGAAAAGGAAAGAAAGGAGGAGAAAACCTGACCCCTTCCCTCATGAAAATTCCCCATAAAAATTTTCATGACATCATTGGAATAAATGCCAGATTGTTCCTTTGTGGAAGCTCTAGGGTGAAAGCCCGTCTGAACTGGTCGACTATGTCAGTGAAGGCTCTTCACCATATTCTGAGCAGCTCTCGTAAGCCCTATGCTGGAATCTGGCCCCAGTGCATGAGGGCTCTCAGTTCTGATGCTAGCACGGAGAGCGATGGGCCTATAGACCACCCGAGTGGGCAGAATTGTGGGTTTATGGCTAGTCTGCCAAACGGCAGTGCCAGCAGCACCATGCTGGAGCATTGTTTCAGTATTGCAAGAGAGGGACCAGTACGTCCTAAGGAGTCTCCAGCACCACTTCTTGCAACACTTGGGGTTTCCTTAGAGGTCTCTGAACTGTGTCCCTGAGTTTGGTGAATCACACGAACGGACTACCAAGGGAAGCAGTGGCTTTGCTATCTCTGGAAGCCTTCAGATCAAGACTGGTCTTTCTGGTAGACAGGCTTAAGCCAAGCACAAATCAATGGGCTCAAGCCAGGAGGAACTGGATGACATTTTCTGGCCTGTGATATATAGGAGATTAGACAGATGATCTAGCAGGCCTCTCTGGCCTTAGACTCTATGAATTTATGTGGTACAGTGTTCCTGTAGCTAGGTACGCAGCCAGCATTGTTCAGACCCAGTAGTGATCAAGGGTTCCCTTTCACTTCTAATTCATCTCCTAACTTAGGTGACATGTGCAGTGAGCTTGCTGGCATCTGTTCATAGCACAACCCCAGCAGAGCTGATCTTTCCTGTTCAGAAGAGGACCGGAGCAACATGGGGTGCTGCAGATAGCAATTAAGGACAAGTTGGCAGAGTTGAGTGGTGGATGACAGCCAACAGTGCCTGGTTTTGGCCCATGTTGACTCTAGCCAAGGCTGCCATTCCTGTGCTTGCCTTTACAAACACCAACATGACCAGACACAGCTCTCACTGTGAAGGAGCTGCTGGAAAGGAGAGGGGAGAAGCTACAGCAGCCCATTTCTTTGTATGCTACAATTTCAAAAAAGGAACATTTTCTTAACCCCATTTCTACTAAGAATATAACATCCCCTAAGCAGCTCTATTCTATATACACCACTGTGTTGTTACACTATAGACATGCAGGGTGAAATTCACCCCTGGGCAGAGGGCAGCGCAATTCCTAGGCACCCTCTTGGCTTAAACAGGGCTTAAATGGTGCCTTGGACTTCTGCTGGCTGGCTGTCCAGGGTGAATTTCACCCCCAGTAATTGTGTCCCAGCAGCAAAGAGGGGAAGGCTATGGGCCTGTGATGCAGCTGCTTTGGTTTCACCTTAGCTTCTTAATGTATCAGCTTGGAGGATCAGAATTGACCTCCACCAGTGATGTCCCTTGTCAGTTTAAACGTGACGTCACCCACAGCACCATCCCCCCCATCTGGTGGTCTGGAGACAGATAGCACTGGGTCACTCAGCTTCTCCAGCAGGATTTAAAACCCAAAAGGTCCTTTGAGGAAAACAAAAAAGATGATTATAAAGGAACAGATGAGAAGTGAGGTTCCAAGGCCCCCGGCAGTGACTGGTTCAATGGTAAGTGAAGTGCTGCTGCTTTTTCCAATGGATCTGTGAAAGGAAAGCAAGTGACTCAGAGCCAGCCAGGAAATGACTGTGAGTGGGATGGATGGCTCCTTTCAGCTCTTGCGTTGAGCTCTCCAATTGATTTATGGTTCTTTAGGAAGAGCTGTACTTATTACTCAGGTGGGAGCTGCTTCGGTCCAGCCCCAATTCCTGCCCGTTGGCTTTCCACTTCCCAACAGACCCCTTATCATCCGTTGGTGCGCTGCTCAAGGCTGGTCTCTGGCACCAGCAGCACAGACAGGACTGGAAAGAGATACAGAGAAAGAGGTTAGGAGCTGGGACTATGGTGAAATATCCCCTATTACTGTTGAAAGGAAGGGTGGTCTTGTGGGTAAGTGATTGGCAGGGTCTTGGCCTGGGAGAATATATACATATATTATCTGGAAATAAATTATCTGGAAACAGATTTCAATTTATCATACTTTGAAATTGTTTGGTGACCCTGTGGTCTTAGGGGCCATGCCCTTAATGCTGAGCTTCACAGACAGAGTCTGGTCGGGGCATTGTGATGCTCTTGTTGTTAAGTACAGCCATTTGGAACAAAGTACAGCATAAAGCAGAGCTCTTGCAGGCACTGTAAGCACTGAAGACCACAGCACCCTTTGTGTGAAGGGATCTCAGCCCATGCATTGTCTGGGAGCCATTTGCTTTGACTGCTGGGCCAGGGGAAGACAAAGTTTAAACTTTACTCCTGGGGGGAATTCTGCATCACTGCACATGCGCAGAATTCATGTCCCCCGCAGATTTCTTTGCTTCCCTGCAGAAAAATGACTTCTGACGGGGAAGTAAAGGGAAGCCCACAAGAGCGGTCATGCGTCCCTCCCCTGCAGTGCAGGCAGGTTGGTTTGGCCGTCCAGAGCAGCTGGTAGAGAAATCACCGCTGGGTTGAGGTGGGGTGGGGGGCTGTGCAGATGTGCATGAGAGAGAGACACTCTGTCCCTCTTGCTCGCTATTGCGGCATGTCCGGTATGGAGAGGCAGGGCTTTGGGGTGTTTCTGAGGAGGTAGGCATGGGGCAGAGCAGAATGTAGCAGCCTGCCTGCTTAGTGAATTGTTCCCATTGTCTTTGTGAATTTCCCCAGGAATATAAAACAGGTGTAAAAGTTTTAAGGCTCCTTTATATTGCCATAGTGGTGTAAAGGACAGTATGGCCTTACAAATGCTTATGGTGCTTTAGTGGTTAGAATTGGTCTAAATTTTTGGACTGAAAAAAATTCCTATCAAAATGTGCTCCATTACCTGTTTGGTGCTGACCTTTTTGGAGATGGTCAATAGCCAATATAAATTGTGAGTTTGATTCCCCAGCCCTCACTTGCTCTTCAGTTGCCTACAATGCAACACTGAGCATATGGCTGCATAGATTTGTTGACTAATAGCTAGAAATAAAGGGTCAAACCTAGCTACGTTACTATTAGACTAGGAAGTTTGGGGATTTCCTCTAATGCACCCCCCACTCCCATTCTCCATCCATTGTATTGTAGTTTAAAAAAAATACCAAAATAATTGAAACTGTCATGATTATATTGCATTACTTTGACAAATAAAATTTACAGACTTTTAAAATATTGTGCGCAGAATTCCCCCAGAAGTAAAACTTGACTGTTTCCCCATGTGCTTTAGGTCACATTTCAATGCTTCCTGCAAGTGCATGGTGCGCTGCTGCTGCTCGTGTTGCAGGGAGCATCAGTTGTTGCTGGCTCCAGATCGAACCCCTCTGCTCCACTTCACAGCCCTGCTGAGAGCAGCATGTGATGGGAGTGAGACCATCAGTAACCAAAATGGAGACCCTTTGAGCCATCATAAAAATAGGTCACTGGGGAGATGCTAGGGAGAATTCGTTTGATTTTGGTCCCTCCTCAAATGGGAATTATCATAGAATAGAATCATAGAATATCAGGGTTGGAAGGGACCTCAGGAGGTCATCTAGTCCAACCCCCTGCTCAAAGTAGGACCAATTCCCAACTAAATCATCCCAGCCAGGGCTCTGTCAAGCCGGGCCTTAAAAACCTCTAAGGAAGGAGATTCCACCACCTCCCTAGGTAACGCATTCCAGTGCTTCACCACCCTCCTAGTGAAATAGTGTTTCCTAAGGATTCATCCTCTAAGGACTACTAGACAGTGCACATGAGTGGGAGTCAGGAGACCTAGATTCTATTCCTGACTCTGCCAGTTGGTGCCATTGGCCAAGTCACTTCCCCGCTCTGTGCCTCAGTTTCTCTTTCTCTGTTTCATTTTTTTCAACTGTAAACTCTGCAGGGCAGGTCCTATCTCTCACTATGTGTATGTACCCTGCCCAGCAAAATTGGTTCCCAGTCTTGCCTGGGACCTCTAGGTTCTTCTGTAATACAATGATAAACACCCCCCAAAGCTCAGCCCACACCCTGCTTCATGCTCCTGCTAGCTGAGACATCTTCAGGAGCCTCCACAGCAGGCACATGGCACATGCAGCAAGTCTGAGCAAGCTGCGTTTGTCTCTCACCTGAAAGCAGTTCTTGAATTTCCGGCTGACGAAGTAGAGAGCTATAGGATTGATGCAGGAATTCAGGGAGGCCATGTTGATACCAAAGTAGTCCATCACCAGGAGGAAACTGGGGGTGGAGAGGAGAGAGAATGATGGTGTACTTGGTGTGGTCTGTCTAGCCCACTGTCCTGCTTCTGTAAAGAAGCAGTGACTGGAACTTCAAAGGAAAGCAAAACAATCCCCTACCACACCTAGTCAATTGTGCAATGCTCTGACATGAGGGAAATATTTGTTTCCTGACCCCTGCAGTGACCAGCTCATGCGTGGAAGCATAACATCTGATTACCTCGATCATCCTGCTTTCCATAAGCTCAAAACATGTGCACTGCTCTTTGATAACAGCAGCTCCCTGCCCACCTACCATAGCCATACTGGGACCTCACTGGAATATCTGCACCCCACACCTTTCTGTGGCTATTAAAAGGATACCTCACCTTGAAATTGAGCAAATAAAAACAAACAAACAAACCAGTGACTGAAGTTCCAGAGACAATTACACAGTCAACAGCAGCCTGGAATCAGAGTCCAGTATTAATATCGCTGCGATCACAAGACTGAAGCACAGTACAGAAGTGGGGGTCTTTTTCTCGTTGTCCTCACCTCAGCAATTCACATCTGTTGGGGTCGGTCTGGTCATAGATGGTCTTCTTCAGGATCCTACTCAGGTGGAGAGGCAGCCAGCAGAGAGCGAAGATCACCACCAGGCAGAACACTGTCTTGGCAACCTCCCGGCGCTAAGACGCACAAGTGAAGAAGTGTGGGTGAGTGCACACTCAGAGTGAGCCTGACCAAGGAGGGGAGCAGAGCACCACTAGCACAACCCTTGTAGAGGACCTTTAAATCCCTAGGCACATCCAGCAGCATTTAGTGCTCACTCAGAATGATCATTGCACAGCACTGATAAGGGCTGGAGACCCCCTTAAATCCTTACATGCCTCCAGCAGCACTGAAATTTACATGACTGCATGATCAGAGGGGCTGTGAGGAGTCAGGTGGCACAGTACAAGCAGTACAATACTGGTGGGGACTAGGGACTCTATGGTCAGCCAGAGTCAGCAATGTTTGCATTAGTGAACACTCAAAGGACCTGACCCAAGCATGCTGAATTCAGTGGAAAGACTCCCATTGACTTTAGTGGGCTTTGGATCAGGCCTGCAGTGAGCTTGAACCAGCAGGGGAGGTGAGGCCTACAAGAGCCTTCACTGCTGAGGCATGAGGTCTCCCTTACTCACCTTCGCATAGCCAAAGACAGAGGAGTTTACATCAGAAGCAAGCCAGGAGGCTAAGCACCAGCCTCTCCTAGTGCAGTGAGTCTGCTGTGCTGCCTCATTGGGCAGCTATTAGAAGATGTGAACACACAACGAGGCTACCAGAGCCAGCCCTTCTGCCCACTAACATAGTGACATCTCCACTGGCAATGTGCAGCTGCTGCGGTAATACAGGCAGTCCTCAACTTTACCACATTCGACTTACGATGAACAGCACTTACGATGTTTCTGAATTGACCCCGATTCAACTTGTGGCAATTGGTTTTGATTTTACGATGCTTGGTCCCGCAATGAAGTGTATTGCAGTTCCAGTTACAACATTTCGACTTACGACACAATTTTCAGGAACCAATTGTGTCGTAAGTCCGAGGACTGCCTGTACAACATTTCTTTAAACAACAGGCAAAGAGGACTATTTATAACCCAGGTATAATAAATACACAGGGAAGCCTTGGCTTCCCCAAAACAGTCAGATTGGGCCAGACTGGGCTGGAGACCTAACCTAACACCGCATGATTGCTCTTGTACTGGTATTTGTAGCTATTGGCTGGGTGGCCCTGGAATGTAACAGGGAACAGGGGAGCCACTGTGGCATAAGGAGGTGGAGATCAAGACATCTTAGACCAAAGGACTAAGTCCCAGCTCCTCAATGAGCGTTAGGTGCATTAAACCTCATGTGAAGCTCTGGGCTCCCTGCCTCTTCTGTCCAATGGAGATAATAATCCACCCTTTCTGCTCCCCTTGCCTGGTTTGTTTATTTAGACTGTAAACTTTTCAGGGCAGGGACTGGCACTTGGGGGTATGTGCCACACCTAGCACAAAGGGACCCTGATTGCCATTGGCCTTTACCCACTACTGGAATATAATTAAGCATAATGCATTAAAAGTCAAACTGTTTTGCAGCCTTAATGCTAGTGCTTGGAGTTGTACCAGATGCTCTGGCAACACTCACCACTGGGCAGAAGAGGGGCATTTCCCCCAGCTCAGACTGGCAGGGACCCTGAAGGGAGGGGTTCATCTTCCTTTGCAACATGGGGCATGGTTTACCTGCTGGGATCATCTGGGCATGTCTCACCTAGTCAATGCCCTGCCATCACACGGGGTCTTGGGCACTGATGGCACCTTGGTCCCTCCTGTTCCCTTCCCATGGTGCACAACAGTTTAGTCACCTGAGGAAATTCTTTAGTCTAACTAAAGTCAATGGGCTTAGCATAGGGATATCTGGGTGCAATGTGGTGGCCTGTCATACACAGGAGGCCAGACTAGATGAGCTGATGAACTTTCTGGCCTTAAACTCTACAAAACTGAGAGATGAGCTGTACAGAGCTAGAGGCCCCAGGCCTCCACTGGTGTCAATTTCCATAACTCCACTGACTTGTCCTTCTCCATGGACTTCACACCCACTGTGGACTAGGGCCAATATATGGTCTCTTGTGCTGCAGCTCTATCCTCTCTCTGTGGGGTGCCTGGCAGAAGGCTGGATCCCCTCACCCGCTTCATGTGGTCATTGAAGGCAATTCTCATGCCGTTCCTCTTGCTCAGCATCTCGCAGGACATGAGGGTATAGAAGACACCGGTGCATGCCAGAGGCAGGCAGAAATAGAAGCCAAAAAGCCACCAGTCCTTCACATCCCTGTAGAACTACACACAAAACAGAAAGGACATGAATAGGAAACAGGAATAACCTGCCAGGGGCAGAACCAGGCTCCATCTAACCCAGTGTCCTGGCTTTTACAAGGTCCCCTGGCAGATGCTTCAGGGGAAGGTGCAAGAATCCTTGCATTAGGCAGATGTCAGATTATGTTTACATTAGGTCTCCTAATCCAAAATAGTTAGAGAATGGCTTATATCTGTTTAATATGCCTTCCAATAGCACCTCTTTCTTATTCCTGCAGATCATATACAGCACCCAGAGTCAGGAAGCAATCACAACTCAAAATGTCATGCAGAGCTCTATCCTGTCCTGGAAGGGGATACATTTTGATGCTTCATTGGGGATTTTTTCTATCCCCAGATACTATGATATCAGCTCTGTAAAGCCGTAGTAAAAAGTAAATGGAGGGTCAGCTCAGTTCTACACTTCTTGTCTCTGCAGGTAAACATCCATAATGTTAGTCATGATAAAGCAGTGCAAAAGTTTTTGGTGCACTGACCATTCTGAAATGGCCAAAACAATGCATTTTGGGGGGAACAAAATGTTTCTATTTGATTTTGAGGTTTTCTTAACATTTAATTTTTTAAAAATAAAATTGAAGGACATTTTGAAATGAAGTAATTATGAAGAGAAAATCAAAACATTTTGAAAATAACCAAACAAAATGTTTTGATTAGGGTTTTATTTGAGGGTTTGTCTGATGGTGCTCAGATCAAGGGTTGGATTCAGATCCTTCTCTAACCCCAGACTCTCAGTCTGGGAGCCTATGTAGAAATCAGGCTGTCTTTTGAGGTTCCTTGTACTCATAGAATCATAGAATATCAGGGTTGGAAGAGACCTCAGGAGGTCATCTAGTCCAACCTCCTGCTCAAAGCAGGACCAACACCAACTAAATAATTCCAGCCAGGGCTTTGTCAAGCTGGGCCTTAAAAACCTCTAAGGATGGAGATTCCACCACCTACCTAGGTAACCCATTCCAGTGCTTCACCACTCTCCTAGTGAAATAGTGTTTCCTAATATCCAACCTAGATCTCTCCCACTGCAACTTGAGACCATTGCTTCTTGTTCTGTCATCTGCCACCACTGAGAACAGCCGAGCTCCATCCTCTTTGGAACCCCCCTTCAGGTAGTTGAAGGCTGCTATCAAATCCCCCCTCACTCTTCTCTTCTGCAGACTAAATAACCCCAGTTCCCTCAGCCTCTCCTCGTTAAGTCATGTGCCCCAGCCCCCTAATCATTTTCATTGCCCTCTGCTGGACTCTCTCCAATTTGTCCACATCCCTTCTGTAGTGGGGGGGCCAAAACTGGACGCAATACTCCAGGTGTGGCCTCACCCGTGCTGAATAGAGAGGAATAATCATTTCCCTCGATCTGCTGGCAATGCTCCTACTAATAGAGCCCAATATGCTGTTAGCCTTCTTGGCAACAAGGGCACACTGATGACTCATATCCAGCTTCTCGTCCACTGCAATCTCCAGGTCCTTTTCTGCAGAACTGCTGCTTAGCCAGTCGGTCCCCAGCCTGTAGCAGTGAATGGGATTCTTCCTTCCGAAGTGCAGGACTCTGCACTTGTCCTTGTTGAACCTCATCAGATTTCTTTTGGCCCAATCCTCCAATTTTTCTAGGTCACTCTGGACCCTATCCCTACCCTCCAGCGTATCTACCTCTGCCCCCAGCTTAGTGTCATCCGTGAACTTGCTGAGAGTGCAATTTCTCCCATCATCCAGTGAAACAGTGATTTCTCCTGGGTTTGAAATGCTATAAGAGCAACATCCCTAATGATTTGGGGATCCTTTTGCTTCTGGATGAAACCAGATGAGTGGAGAGCGCAGACGAATGTAAACATCTTAAGGCAAACTAAAAGTGAAGGGAACTGGACTGGACTATGCCCCATGCATTCAGTATAGGGCCTGTGACCCTCACCAGGACTCAGAGCTGGGCAAAATTCAGTGACACTGAAACATTTTGCAAATTTGTGCGGATTTCACCAAATTGTTTCTGTCAAAAAACCCACAGACAAACCCTCAAATAAAACCCTAATCAAAACATTTTGTTTGGTTATTTTCAAAATGTTTTGATTTTCTCTTCATAATTACTTCATTTCAAAATGCCCAGTCAGAGCTACCTCTGCCCACTATGTGCATAAAGCCTGCTGAAATCAGACACATCTTCAAGTACATCAATACCATCGCAGGGGAGATGGAAGATGTGGTTCTAGATCGAGATCCCACCTGGCTTCTGGCTCCACAATGGGCTGAACCAAAGCTCCATATCCAACCTCCACCCTGCAATTTGCAGCTTGGATACACATGTGATCCCACTCCCTTTGGAGCTTTGCCCAGTACTGTTATCACCTCGCTGGCACTGAGGGGCTGTGCACCATCCATTCCCATCTGCATGCTGGGAGTGAGCACCAGAAGGGGAGTGCCTCCTCCTCCTCCTCACTAAAACAGGGGTGGAGTACGCACCAGGGTGAATCTGGAGTTCTGTTCGGAGGACAGCATGCAGACCCAGAGCATCTGCTCACGATAGTTCAGCTCCACCATGTCGAAGGCAATGGCTTCAGGGACGGCCAGGATGATAGCCACAGCCCAGATCAGCATCACCTCGACTGCCTTCCACATGGGGATCCCTATGCCCTGGATCCGGCTCCAGGAGGCCACCGCCCTGTACCTGCCGGACACAACAGGATGTTACTGCCTTCATTTCACACGCTGCAATTCACTGTGACAGGGTGAGAGCCCCATCCCCTGCTGGAAAGAGCTAAGGCAAGCCTTGGTCTCAGGAAGCCACCCCCTCTGGACCGGTGCTGGGTTTGGTCTGAAAGAGGGGGAAATCCAGTTGGGGCCTGGAAAGAATGCAAACAATCAGCTCCTTCCAGATGTTCAGCTAGGGCCTGGCTGGCAAGAATGGGTTGCTGGCAGGAAGGACTGAGCCAAGAAGACAGTGGCTGAATCTGAACTATGTGTCTGAGAGGTGTAGAGTCACTGTGCATGCCTGGTCATTACTTACAGGAGCAAGACCTGGAGGTGCAGCCTGGCTGGTGAAAGAGTTTGTTGTCTTGTACCTTTTGAGCTTTATTTTGCAGCAGGTGCTTTGGGCTCAGTTGACTGGAGGGCAAGGCTGCTATTACAGCTGGGTAGGTCACAGGGCACTGGGGGGAAGCTGAGGCAGAACACACACAGGACCATGCTGTGCTGTAAGGTGGCAAGTGCAGGCCATGCGCGGTCATGCTCACACACGGAAGGGTCCAGGGAGCAGAGTCGCAAGAAAAGCAACTGCTGGAGGGCTGAGAAGCCCCAACCCTGCCTTAGACTTAGAGCATCTTCCATCTCCCCTGCATATCAGTTACCCCACTGCGCTGGGCATCAGTGGGCGTCAGAGGGTCTGAATGAGTCTCACAGCATGTTAAGCATCTTCTCTGAATTTGGCTCAAGGGGAAGCAGGGACCACGTGGGACCAGTGGGCTGCACTGTGGCTATGTGAGGGGGTATGCCCCCCCCCCAGTAATGAAAGAGTTAACTGGAAACCGAGAGCAAATAGCGTCCCTGGTGGCACCAGGAGGGTGGGAGGTGAAGTCCAGCTGGGGGCAGAGATGGGTGGTGGGCATCCAGGGGGAAGCCAGGTCTGTAGGGAGAGGGGTGAACAGCCCTGCAGTCCGTCTCTGCATGCTGGAGAGCGGAGGAGGGGCCTAGAGAGAGGCAGGTGCACAGGCAGCCCAGGGAGGGGCTGTGGGAAGGGCCAAGGTAGGAAGAAGTCCAGGGAGGCAGCGTGGAGTCTGAGGGAGCAGAGCTCAGCTGCTCACCACAGGGTGCCTGGCCTGGAACCTGGAGCAGAGGGCAGGCCTGAGTTCCCCTGCCCTCCAGGACCAGTGGGGCAGGAACCCCCTGCCACAAGGGGGAGAAGGACAATTGAGTTTGGAGCCAGGGAGAAAGCACTAGGTGTCGCTCTGCCTGAGAGCCCGAGGACAGCCCTGCAGAGCCCAGGTCAGGGCGAAGTGTTTGTTGATTGGAGTTTAGTTTATTGGATTCTTTTTTTACCCCCAAGTGGGGGGGGGAGGGAAGGGGCACTAAATGTGACCTGGCTGGCCAACCATGGCAGGGCCGGAGCAGCTTTCTGCAGGGGGAGCTAGAGGAGAGCCAGCCATGCCATCCCCAGACATGAGGGAGCACACCAGCAGTGAGTCCACTCTTCAATCGGCTGCCTCGAGGACAGCAAAGGGCTGCGCTGTGATTAAATTGACCTGGTTGCAGAACATGGTGGTGACAACAGGTTCATTACCTGTCTATGCTGAGTGCACAGAGGCTGAGGACAGTGATGCCCACAGATGCCTTCTGAATGAATGGAACCAGCTTGCACACCTGGACGCCGAATGGCCAGTCTTCTGCCAATAGCTGAGAAAGAGGACGAAGACGCACATGATTAACAGGCCCTGTCAGGGTTTTTGGATCAGGTTGTTCCCTTCATGGAAAGGGGAGGACGCTATGAAACACTTGGATGTTACCTCCGCTGGGATTCGGGGTGACCTTTCTTGGGCTGTGTGAGCATGGAGTTGTAAAATGGTTTGTCACACTGGGAATGAGTCCTCTCCCACAAGCACACTTTTAGGAGGAGGGTTTATTGTGCTGAGGGGTGGTCCAGAAGCCAATATGTGAACCCAAACACTGGCATTTTTTGAGAGGTACAGAATTTAACTTTGACCCCTATGGGCCTGAAGCCCCCCTGGCAGTTGGGTTCTGGGCTGGGCTCACATTTGCCAGGGGCTCATCTTTAGCTGCTGCTGAAATCTCACAAGAACAGCTGCTGAATTTCAGTGCCATCAGATTCCAGCCCAGCCCGGATCAGCCTTGTATCCAAACTTGAAGTAACTGTTCATCTAAATGTAGATCTCAACACCAACTCCTCTGTGCAGCACTAGCTGCTTTGGCCAGTAGTTTATTGCATGAGACTGAGGCCCAGATCCTCAGAGGCATTTAGGTCCCTGACTCCCACTGGAATCAATGGGAGTTTAGGTGTCTAAATACTTTTGAGGATCAAGGCCTAAAAGCATAAAAATGGCCAACTTGCGGAGGGCTCTAATTGACAGAGCACCCTTCAGCGTTTCTGAAGTCACTGAACAGACTCAGACAAGGAACAGCAAGGAAATATTTAGGATCAGATCCTAATTAAACTTGACTGAGATCAGGATTTGGTCATTAGAGAATAAACTAACCGGTTTATAGTCTTGTATTCTGTTCCACTTTACCCACTTGACTTCAATGGAAACCCTTACTTGAGTAAGGCAACCTGGGTTGGCCCTAGGTAGCCACCCATAAAGGTTTAAAAATAATAAGTTGTTCTACGATTAGAGAGGATTCATTTTACTCAAACATACTGGCTCAAATTCATCCCATTGAACCCAATGACATTATACCAGGGCTTAATTTGCCCCATTGAGTTTACTAAGAACACCGTCTCTAATTGGGCAGGATAGCGTACTCATGCTAAGTTGTTAAGTTAATTTATAATTTAACATCACCATTTGAAATCCAGCTATGGGGCTTGTTGACTCAGGATTATACTGAAACAATTGTATTGCTGTACATTAGGATAATTCAATTATACACACATGTGCAAAAAAGGAACAATGCAACATTACATTAAGACACTACAGAGTTAGGTTGACGTAAGGCAGCTTATGTTGACATAACTATGTCAGTGTCCACACTACAACCTTGCTCCCGCGGATATAAGTGCTTAGGGGTTGAGGTAGGCTTGAGAGCCTGAGCTCCAGCCTGAACCGAAACATCTCTGCAGTTGTTTTTAATGTGCCAGCCCAATCTCCACCAGCAAACATCTATGGTGTCAGGCTAGGAGGCTCGCTCGGAGGGCTTGTAACACTAGTGCTTATGTCGGTATAACTGATCATGCTCAGGGGTTTGACAAAGCAATCCCCCTGAGCAATGTAAATTATTCTGATCTAAGCACTGGTGTGGACAGTGCTATGTCAGCGGGAGAAAGCTTCTCCCACTGGCATAGCTACTGCCTTTTGCACAGGTGGATTTATTTTGCCAATGGGAGAGCTCTCTCCCATCGGCATAGAGCATCTGCACTAGCAGCACGACAGCTGTGCCACTGTAGCGATTCTAGTGTAGACTAGCCCTCAGATGCAGCATAGACATACCCTTAGGGCCTGATCCATTGTCTTCAATGGGCTTTGGAGCAGCCACTTAATCTATCAGTTCCCCACCTATAAAAAGGGTATTGTGAAGGTTGACATGCATTATGATTATGTGATGCTTGGATACTATGGAGATGAAGGCGAGATACGCACCTAGAGAGATGTCAGTGGAGTTAATAATCTGGTAGGAGAGTCCATATTATAAACTGACACCTGTGCTCCTCAGGCATATTGGAACATAAAGCTCATCTGTGCAAGAGTCAGAGTTTTCCTGGGGGCCAGTCCAAGCCTATGCAATGAGCTCCCCCAGGAACTAAGAGCCATCCCCAAACCTCCCCTCCCCCTTTTGTTGCAAGTGCCAGGTGCACTCTGACCTGCTGTCTAATACGAATGCAGAGCAGCATGGACATTTTAAAATGCAAAACCAAAACCATATCAACACAAACCACTTCACAGCACACACAATGACAGCAGGAGAGAAAGGAGTTTGTTAGGCTGCTTAATGGGCTCCTGGAAGTGCTCAGCTATTGCAGTGATGAGGGTGGTATAAGAATCTGAATAGAACAGAATGGAAGGCATGATGCTCAGCAAACTGGGATAACTTTATCTAGTATTAAGTATCAGAGGGGTAGCCATGTTAGTCTGAATCTGTAAAAAGCAACAGAGGGTCCTGTGGCACCTTTAAGACTAACAGATGTATTGGAGCATAAGCTTTCGTGGATAAGAACCTCACTTCCCTTGCATCTGAAGAAGTGAGGTTCTTACCCACGAAAGCTTATGCTCCCAATACTTCTGTTAGTCTTAAAGGTGCCACAGGACCCTCTGTTGCTTTATCTAGTATTGTAACACCTGTTATTTCCCTTTGTCTCCCATTGGGGCCTTGTGTGCTGCTCCTTTCCCCCTACCCCTCTGGCAGTCCCTGTAGCACTGTGGACTCACCCCTGCGGCGCCTCCTGCCGGTTGTCTCAGGAATTAGCTCTCCCAGCCTTAGAGCACCCTCTGCAGGCCACTACCACTTCTGGCCCCCATGTCCCTCCCAGGACCCTGGTGCCCCTTTAACTGGGTGCTGCCCCCTAGCAGTACCCCCACAGCTCTGGGTCTCCCCCTCCCAGAGGAACCCCCACCCACTATCCCCACTTCACCTCAGTCTTGGCTACTGTCCAGTCTCCATCTAGCCCCCATTCACTGGGGCAGACTGCAGTATAGGCCACTCATCACAGGCAAAGGGGTTCAGACCTGCTGCCTCTGCCTACCCATGGACTGCCCCCTGCCTTACCAGGCCTGCAGCCTAGGGCTTTCCTAGGCTAGAGCTCCCCAGTTCCACTCCAGATACCTGGATAACCTCCCTACAGCCAGGCCCTTCTCTCTCTGCATTCAGAGAGAAAGAGAGTGCTGAGTTCCTGGCTCACAGCCTCTTATACAGGCCAGCTGTGGCCTGGTTGGGGTGTGGCCCAGCTGCGGCCGCTTCCCCAGTCAGCCCAGCTTTTATCCCTGCAGCCCTCTTTCAGGGCTGATTTCAAGCCCTTCAGGGCTGGAGCGGGTGTCCACCCTGCTACAGTCCCTTTTCTGGAAGCCTAGCTACTGTGATGGGGCATGGTCAGATGGCTATAGGAAAGTAGTGAGAAACAGGTATGTTAGCCCCAGGCTAAAGAAATCCCTGTTACCATGGTAACCAAATGGCAGTTAGTCCAGGTTAATCAAGACACCTGGGGCCAATTAAGATCCTTCCAGAAAGCAGTGGAGACAGCTAAGTTGATTGGGACACCTGAAGCCAATCAGGGGCTGGCTGAAACTAGTTAAAAGCCTCCCAGTTAGTCAGGGAGGTGTGCATGTCAGGAGCTGTGGGAGGAAGTTGTGCTGTTGGAGAGACTGAGAAGTACACACCATATTAGGCACAAGGAAGGAGACCCTGAGGTAAGGGTGAAATGAAGCTTGAGGAAGTGGGGGCTGCTGTAGGAAAGTAGCCCAGGGAATTGTCCATGTCCTGTTTCTAAAAGGTCAGCTACTATAGCTGATACTATTAGGGTCCCTGGGCTGGAGCCTGGAGTAGAGGGTGGGCCCAGGCTTCCCCCTTTGCCCCCCTGATTAATCACTGAGACTGAGAGACAACAGAGACTGTGCAAGGGAGGATAGCTTCTCCTCACCTCCCTCCCTGGCTTATGATGAAAATGGCTCAGTAGGCTGTGACCCCTGCCTCTAGAGAGAGAGAAGGGCTATGTGGAGGGTCACAGTTAATCTCTGAGGCTAGCAAAATCTGCCAGGAAATGTGGGACCCACGGAGACAAGGACAGAGCTTTGTCACAACTGGTGTTGGGGTGGGATCATTGTTCACAGCGTGGCGGAAGAAAGAGGTTTTAAAAAAAAATGCACTGGGGATTTGGATTTTTTTTGTTTTGGTTTGTTTGTTTGCTTTTACCACAATTGAGGAGGTGGTAAGAGCTCTGGTACAAGCCATGGCAGCCCTGCAGGAGGCCACCCGGGCTCAGGCAATGGTACAACAGGAGTCTATGCGGCTACAGCAGGAAACCAATCAATTATTGATGGGCCAGGCAACCCAAGATCGTGCCCTCTTGCGAGAGGTAGTGGACCAGCTGAAGATCCTCACCACCCAGGCCGGGGGTCCGACGGGATGCGAACCCTGAGGGCCACTGGTTGTCTGCCAAAGATGACATCAGAAGATGCCGTAGAGGCATATCTCCTCTCATTTGAGAGGACTGCTCAGCGTGAGGCGTGGCCCCAGGAGCAGTGATCCAGCATTCTCGCCCCTTTTTTGTGCGGAGAGGCCCAGAAGACCTACTTTGACCTGCCTGCCACGGACGCCATTGACTATCTCCGGCTAAAGGCAGAGATCCTAGCACGGTCAGGGGTGATGGCAGCGGTACGGGCCCAGAGGTTCCATGAGTGGAAATACCAGGAGAACAAACCCCCGAGGTCCCAGCTATTCGACCTCATGCGGAAGTGGTTACAGCCCGAGGCGTGCAGCCTGGACAAGATTTTGGAGACCCTAGTCATGGATCATTTCATGCGTGGACTGCCACCAGATCTCTGCAAATGGGTAGGCCAGAATGATCCGTTCACCTATGATGAGATGATCACGCTGGTATAAAGATGGATGACAGCTAGGGAATTGACCCCGACTACCCAAGGAAAGCCCTTTTCAGAGCAAGCACCCGAACCCAACCCTGGAAGGGAGTCCTAGGTGGAAGAAGGGGGGGGGTGAAAACCAGCAGGGAC